TAAAGAAGGATCAAATTTGAGAGAGATTTAGACTTAGTGACCAAATGAATGTGGTCAGGGACAAAGAGAAATTTATTAAAGCTAAGATTTCTATCTGGAGCAATAGGATAGGTGGATAGTCAGAAGACCTAGGGATAGAGGAAGGATGAATTTATAAACAAGAATTGGGGTGGGAAAAGAGGAGATGATGAATGAGATTTAGACATGTTTAATTTGAACTATTTGTTTGAACTATTTGTTAAACATGCAAATGAGGCTTAAGGAAGTTGGAGGTCTGAGACTTAACTGGCAGTTGGAACCATGGGAGTGAATAAGATTTCTCAGATCAAATGCACAGCTCAATACTAGAAAGAAGCTGGAAGATGTTAATTTATTTATCTGGCTTCAAAATGTATAGTTATATATTCTTATTAGCGTGTATAGACTCCAGCATAAGAAGCACTCAGTTTTTGGCATCTGTCAAGTGGTGAAATAGAAAAACGAAAAACAAAACAAGACACCCTAAGAGGTAGGACCTCAGCTCAGGACACTAACGTAGCCCCAGGCCCAGGACAGATCTCTTGGGAATGGGAGCCAGAGAGAGGGTGTCCACAAGTCAAACCTCAGTATCCATAGGGTCTGGCAGTCCTGATCCCCACCTTAATTAGCTACTATCCCTAAGGGGCCTGATATATGGGTAGCAGTGGGGTCCCTTGTGAGATATTTTTGGAAGGTGGGTGAATAACAGCATCACGGTTTCAGATTTTGATCAACCATGCATGAGGGGTGTAGGAAACAAAACCCAACCCTCAGGAGAAGGGGCTGGTATCAGGGTCCCAGGCAAGCAAGCTAGAATTCAGGGCAAAGCTTCAGTCCCAGTGGTACAACTAGATTGCAAATCAGGACACCAAGGTGGAAACACAGTCATCGTATAAGGTAAACATAGATTGAGAGAAAGATGCTGCTCAGTGGGTATAGGAAACCCAAGCTCTCATCCAGGATCCAGGGTTAGGGCCAGAAGAGCAGTTCTAGATCCCACCCTCCAGTGGGAATGGGGTTCCTGATAAGTTTGGTCAGGGCAGGCATTCATCTTACAGTTTGAAACCTATAGAGCTGGAGCAAAGATTGGCATTTTTACCTTTATCTCTAACTCTTTACTCTTGTGGTCCCCAGAGATCCAATAAACTGACATTTACTTGGAATTTCTAGTTCTGTTGTCTCCAGCTATCCAGATCTGTCCTTAGCTTAGAGTCTCAGGGTTCCCATTGTACCTGCACATGTATAGATGTCTATGCATGTGTATACACACACACACACACACACACACACACACACAGGGCTGCTCTCCACTTCTGACTTCTGGGGGTGCATAAGTAATGGGCAGTGATGAGCACCCCCAGGCACTGTCATTGTTGAACCCCTACTGACATATTCGAGCATTCTTGTGCAGTTTCTGCCATATACACTTAGCATCTCACGCTGTGGTATCCATGCTTGTGTAGCTCTAGGTTCGTAGCTTCACAGAAGTCAGCAGACTATTCTTGATGACTGTATGAACAACAGCAGCAACTGCATTTATTGAATGCTTACTATATACCAGTATTATCCTAAGTACTCAGGATAAAAATCTCATTTAACCCTCAAACAACTCCATAACGTAGCTACTATTATTCTGATTTTACTGATGAGGAAACAGAAATTGATAAGAGCGGAGTAATTTGTCTGAGGTCATGCGAGGTAGTAAAGCATGGAGTCTAATTTAGGACTGACTCCAAAATCCATTCCTTTAACTCCCGTGCTGGCATTTCTGAGAACATATTCCTTATTTTTTGGAACATGAGTTTATGTGTATGTCATAGAAGAAGCTGAGAAGTGACTAACTTCTATTAATAATTAAGAGAGTCCAATGGCTTGCTCAAGTGTCTATTCTCATTAACAGAGAACAGAGCTGGGAAGGAGGTTATTCTTAGTAATCATTTAATGAATAAAACACCAAACCTAACCCTCTAAATAAATAAATAAACAAGTAATCCTTACAACACTTTTGTGTAGCACGTGCCTCCTTTGCTGGTTTTATTTATCCTAGAAAGGCTAGGAAATGTGATTTCCCAAGTAGAGCCTGAATAGGAAGCAGAGCAGAAAGGTGGTGTGGTCAGGCACACAGCGTACAACGCCTGCGATTGGTTATCCAACCTTAAGCACGGCTAATTGAAGTCATTTTGCCTCTCTATCCCATTTTGTTACCTGAAAAATTGGTGTGTGAATAAGGATTTTAAGAATTACAGAGTTAAAAAAATTAACCCAATAGAATTTAAGAAGAAACTGTAAAGAAATGTATTTTCCTAATCCAGCTGTGGGAGTCAGGAAGAATGGAATTTGTCACATCAACATTCAGGGGTGGCGAAGGGAAGCTTGGGAACTGGAGTTCTTCAGTGAGCTTCTGCATGGAATATTTTGCCCTGTGATGGGGCTGATCTACATAATCTGGATATAATCGAACCTGGTGGTGGTGGGTGGTCATTGAGATTCAGAATGGGAGGTGAGGGGAGAGGCTGGGAAGGCGAGGGAGGATGAGTATCTGAGGTCTACGCTTTGCCTCTCGTGGTGCTCTTCTATTGTGTGTACTCTCTGAAGGTGCCCAATGAGGAAATGTTTGTTAACGACCCTGGGAGTAAGCCTCATGAGGCTTATTTTATAAGTGAGGAAAATGAGTCTCAGGTTACTTAAGAAACTTCTTTAAAGCCTTACTACGAGCATATGGCTAGGTGAGATTCAAAGCCCTGCCTATTGGATGCCGACACTATTTTACTACCTCAGGCTATCTACCACTCATTTAACCAGTTTCCTCTGCAAAGTCCTAGAAATTTCCATGTTAATAGTAATTCATTTGCTCATCCTTTTCTTTATTTATTCTATATGTAGTTATTAAGCACATGGTAGGTCCAGACTTGATAAATGTCAAATACTCTGCTGCATTCGCTTCCAAATTCCATAGAATGCAGAAACCTTTTTCTCCTAAAAGGAATTAGGACCTAGTTTTTCATTGTATCTTTCATTGAAGAGAGGCACTGGTCTGGATATCAGATGTGAGTACAAACATGATATCCCGCCGTTGTGAAGGATGCTTCAATAAAGAGGCATATTCATAAATAAGTGTGTGTTTGGACTGTTGAAAGTGAGATTGCTTTGTAGGATGTCATAGCGAACATTGGCACTAATAAAGGACAGGACCCCATGGAAAGTAGTCCTTGAATGCCTCAAGTCCGTGCTGTGGTTCTTGGTGAAACTATTTTCCTCAAGCTACCTGGATTCAGTTCAGAACCTCTTCATCGTATCTTCGTATTACCTTTTTTCTGCCTCCCATGTAATTCTATTTCTGCTTCTAACTTCCGATCAAGCTAGTAACTCTTGACTCTCTTGTTCAACTGAGGAAGTTATGTTCTCTTTGCTTGGACTTTCTAGATCTTACCATTGAGTTCATGTAAATCCTTTGCCCCTCAAACACTCCACTGGTCTCTCATTCACTGAAATTTCTCTCTCTTTCTTGGTCACCAAGCCTCAGGTTGGATCTTTTTACCACTTATACTTCTCATCTGCTTTTCTTCTTTTGATTACCCTTCAAAGCTTTTGAACTTAGTCTACTGCTTTTGATCTGCAATCCTCCATTTCTCTCAAAGACTTCTTTTCCCCTTCATCCTGTACCCTTTGCTGGGTCACCAGCTGGAAGGGAAGTCACTTCTTCCTGAAGTCACACTTCCTGGTTTCATTGTCATTATTTATCAAATATTTTTTGAGTACCTATGGGCTCCACGAGCCAGGACAGCAAGATGGGACACATCCTTTACCTGGCGAATCTGACAGGGTTGACAGGCATGAAAATAAATACTTTCGAAACTGTTATAGGAAATGTCTAGAAGAGAATGCTGGGTATATTGATGGTGCAAAAGAGAGGATGATAAACTTATTCATTGGTCAGAGAAGGCTTTACAGGAAGCCCTTGAACCGGGTTTTTAAAGATGTGAAAGAATTTTCCCAAGGAGAGACATGAAGAAAAAGCATTCCAGAAATGGGGAAGATCATGTACAAAGACTTATGGGTGTGAAACCACATGTCCCATTTGGGGAAGCTGTGAGTTCTTTGATATTCTTGGAGCTTGGTGCTTAAATAGAGTTGCTTCAAGAAAGAGGTGAGAGGTGAGGCTGAGGAAGTAGAAGAAGCTAGAGAATGGAGTGCCTTGGATGCCTTGCCAAGGATGTTAGGTTTTATCCTGAGGGCCATGGAGAATCAGTGAAGTGTTTTAAGAAAGAGAGCCATGGCTGGGCATGGTGGCTCACACCTGTAATCCTAGCACTCTGGGAGGCCAAGGCAGGAGGATTGCTTGAGCTTAGGAGTTTGAGACCAACCTGAGCAAGAGTGACAGCCTGTCTCTGCTAAAAATAGGAAAATTAGCCAGGCGTTGTGGTACACACCTGTAGTCCCAGCTACTCAGGAGGCTGAGGCAGGAGGATCGCTTGAGCCCAGGAGTTTGAGGTTGCAGTGAGCTATAATGATGTTACTGCACTCTAGCCAGGTAACAGAGTGAGACTTTATCTCATAAATAAATAAATAAATAAAGCCATAACAGTCCAATTTAGAACAATCGCCTGAATTACAGCAAGGAGAGTATACTGGATATGGGCAGACTGAAGGCAGGGAGATAGGACAAGAGATTATTGTAATATTAATATTATAAGCAAGAAATGAAGAGGGCCTAAATAAAAGCAATGGTAGTGGGGTAAAAAAGAAGGGAAGAAATATTAAAGATGTTAAGAGATCAAGTTGACATGAGTTAGTGACTAATTGGATATAGGGAATGAGGGCATGTTGCTGGCCAGGCAACCAGATGGATATTGATGCCATTAATTGTACTAGCAAAAATGGGGTGGGGGACACAGGTTAGGGAAGTGAGGTGGAAAGACATGTGGTAGAAGGTGATGTCTAGGATATGGACACCGTTTGGACATGTTCATTCTGTTTTGCAGCCATGGCTGAAGGCCTTCAGGTCACAGTGCCCGACAAGAAGAAGGTGGCCATGCTCTTCCAGCCCACTGTGCTTCGCTGTCACTTCTCCACGTCGTCCCACCAGCCTGCAGTCGTGCAGTGGAAGTTCAAGTCCTACTGCCAGGATCGCATGGGGGAATCCTTGGGCATGTCCTCTCTTCGGGCCCAGTCTCTCAGCAAGAGAAACCTGGAGTGGGACCCCTACTTGGATTGTTTAGACAGCAGGAGGACTGTCCGAGTGGTGGCTTCAAAACAGGGCTCGACTGTCACCTTGGGAGATTTCTACAGGGGCAGAGAGATCACGATTGTTCATGGTAATAACGCCCGTTCTGAATCTAGGAAATGGGTTCTGTTCTTCCCTTACCTTACGTCTATAAGGGGATGTCCACCTCTCACCCTTTCAGACACTCAAGACTTTGATTTATCGGAGATGGGAGCATCAAGAGACCTAGCAGATTGCTTTAATGCGATGGTGAAGGGAGGAAGGGTGGGCAGTATAGTATCTGGAGAAGAAACAGATGAGCTTTGGATGAGTCTTTCCAGAGCCCAACATCAAGTCTCAGGAGCTTGTTTTCAGAACTGAATTGAAATGGGTTCTAGGGAAAGAACTTCAGACAAACCTCCTATACCTTGACATCAGCCGTTAGGGCCCTTTCCCAAATGTAGAAAGCAGACTTTCCTAAAGCGCTCCTCTGCTGGGAAAAGGGATGAACGTGTACAAGTTACAGAGCCAGGTGACGCCCTGGCCTGAGCCCCAGGTGGTTTCACATCAGTCAGTTCCACCCTTTCTCCTGCTCCCTAAGGCTTTGGGCAACAAAAGGTCCCAAGGGTCTGATATGAACTATTTGATTATTCGAATTTTGAAGAACTCCTATAAAGTGAGCTTATTTTCAGGAGTCCAGAATAATTCTAGAATTTATCTAGCTCTCAGAGGCCTCTGCAGGTCTGGTTCAAAGCCAGCATCTACTCCTGAAATAGGACTAGCACTGACTGGACGGTTGGTTTCCGGTGGTGCTCTAATTCTCTGTCCTTTGTTTCTTTCTTTTAAATAAAGCACACACCTTTCTATCGCTATCCAGGTAAAGAAATAGAACACTGCAGACATCCCAGAAGGGCTCTCCCCTCCCAACTCCCCGTTGTTCAGTGTTTTTCTTTCAGAGGACAGGTTTAGGACTGGGTCCTTCTTTTTGTGGTAACAGATGCAGATCTTCAAATTGGAAAACTCATGTGGGGAGACAGCGGACTCTATTACTGTATTATCACCACCCCTGATGACCTGGAGGGCAAAAACGAGGACTCCGTGGAACTGCTGGTGTTGGGTAAGTGAGACCCACAGGCGACGTTTTCATCGTAGACGGCTTGCACTGCCTTGGTTTTCTTGCTTCTTCCGTGTGTGGATCAGCAGGTCGCATACATAGTCTGTAGTTTTTGTGCACAGACAAACCTTTTTAGAATATACGCTTTATGAGCAGTGGCTATGCATATTATACCTTGTTGCTTGAAGGCTCTGACCCCCTTTTTCTTATTGCCCCTAATATTTCTTCTGCTTTCTTAGTTTTCTCCCCCTCCTTTCCACTTTCACCTTTAACCATGATTTCTCTCTTCTCTTACGATTTACTTGTCTTTTTATATGCTAATTTTGAAGAAAATGCCAGATGCTTTTGGAGCAGGGTACTCCTGGATTACTGGAAGATAAGAATTCACTGGTGTGTCAAGACCTCTGGAGATGTTAGGAATCTTTTCCCACTCAATTACTTCCACTTAAGACAATCATAAAGAAAGATAGCTATAAACTGGAGGGTTTAGTGATAAAAAGTACCCAATGAAAAGAGCTGTTTGAGAGATGCACTAAGTGTTTAATTGGAAGGCAAATTTCTTGAAACCTAAAAGTGTCTGAGTTATTCTCAAAACAAATATATCTAATCCTTATTAATATTAATTTCTTCATAAATGAGAACTCATTACTTTTGGCTACTTTTCCTTTTGCATGGATTGGAGGAATGTCAGTGGGAGCTGGCTTCCTTGTACGAAACTGAAAATTGAGCACATATTTTATGCTCTATAATTGTTGGGTGAACAAGAAAACTAGAATAAAACATACAAAAATTAAGAAAAGAAACTGCGTCGATTGTAGGAGAAAAGGTAGTTCAGGACGTATACTTGATGCCATTTTTCAAAAGAAATTACATTTTTTGTGGTTTCCAAGAAACCAGGTGGTGACAGCAATTTGGGGGAATATATTAATGTAAGGGTTCCTCCTTTTAAAGGCAAATGAGGTTGAAGGTTGATTTTTTTACCCTCTGTGGGAAACTCAATCCCCAGGGAGAAAGTGACATTGCTTTAGGATTTCTAGTTTTAGCCTTTATCATGATTGTGTGACTTTGGCAAAACAACTGTTCTGATGTTTTAGTGTTATATTTTCAAAATTGAATTAAGGTAATAATGGTCTACCTTATTTAGAAGGTTGATTTAATTCAAACATAATCCTTGGGTCCAGTATGTAAAGTATAAGTGTTGTGACTTGTAAAAGAATAGAAATATGACAGATATTCAAATAGGAAATGAAACAGTAAAGGGCTCATACTGACATTGTAAAATAACACAGGGAGATCAGATTTGGGATCCACTGTGACTCTGTAAATCAGAAGGGAATAAAAAGATAAATTTTTGCTTAATCACACAACTCTAATAGCCAAGTTTCAAGGAACAAGTGGTTCATTGAGCCTGCAATTAGCTAATTGTGAACACAGTTATTTGGCCGGGGCAGCCATTTGCAGAGAAGTAATTGCTTGTGCAGTAAAAGGAGGTCAGGTAAAAACCACTTTAAATAATTTGGTCCCAGTTATTCTGCAATCGTGGGGAAATGGATAGAGGGAAAGCACTGTCATCTGAGGATGTTCTGAAGTGTATGAAGGGCATTCCTCTGGATCAAAACATACAAAGCAACTTGGGCAAAGATGCTATTCTCAGGACAAAAAGGGGTCAGCCGCTGAGAGGTGGGTGAAAGGAAGGCTCAGATGACAATGGTCACCAATGATGGGAGGAAAGATGAACAGAAATCAGTGTTACTCTAAAAGAATCATGAAGGAAAACTGGGGAGGCTGCAGATCAAAACTCATGGCAGTAGAAGTGGCATATCTATGAGATAAACATACATGCTGGGGTTCTTGGGAAGGAGACACATAATTCTGTTATGTTCCACATTAATTAGAAGCATTCAAAGCATGATTAATTTGTCATGGAAACTTTCAAGGGCAACACTCGTGTTACTTAGTTTTAAAGGGGTTAATTTGAAACCCAAGAAAATTTTCTGGATGCGTAAAGTACTGTATTTACTCTCCAAACACACAATTCTGGAGTCTTGTCTTGAGACCCCTTTATAAAACTTTTCAAAATACTGTCACAGTTTTAAAAATTCTAATTTTTTAGTTTTTATATCCTGCAGGCCTATTTGTTAGGTACTCTTTTTGTGTGAGACCAGGAGAGCAACCTGATTTCTGAGATCAACCCTTAAGGAGATGAAGACCTTGGTGGGAAGATAACTGGGGCCCACAGTTTGCTAATTATGTCCATGAGCCACCGGTTTAGTCATTGAATTTTATATGAGGAATGATTGGAGGATTTGGTCTTGTGAAAGAGGATTTGGAACAGGGAGCATGGGAAGTGTCTCCAAATGTTTGAAATGAAATTGTGTAGAAGAGGGAATAAGAACATACTATGTCTGGCTAGGTAAAACTGAACTAGGGGTGGAAGTTACAAGGGGAGGGAGTCTGTCTAAGTGTGAAAGAAGAACTGTTAACAACTGGAGACATCTAAAGACAGAATAAGTGTTCTTCAGAGTAGTAAGTTCTATGTCCCTGGAGGGAGATATTTAAAAGGATGGAAGATTTCTTATCAGAATTACTATATCAGGCCCTTATGCATAGGAAAAGGTACTCAACTACGTTACTTTAGAGCTTTATTTTGATTCTAAAATTCTTGGATTAAAAAGTAGATGAACATGATTGATGTGACTACCTTGATGAATAAGAAAATGACCTCCCAGGAATTCAGTCCTCATGATGGAGATAAACAGCATCACAGGTTGGTCACAAGAACATATAGGGTGATGCTCATTCACAAGGAAGCCAGAGAGAATAAACTGAACTGTGGTCTTCTGCAGTGGGTCAGGGCTGATAGGACTAATCCCCCAAGAGTGAATTAAAGAAACTGTTGATAGTGGTTGAAGGAGTCAACTACTTTCGCTCTTCTTGGAGATGATCACAAAATGGAGAGCAGAAAACTGGTTGGAATTTCAGATAATGAATTAGTAAGGAAAGATGAGTTAAAGAGATAAATTAGAGACAAAGCTAAGAAGAATTTTGTTTCCTCATTATACTCACAGCGGTGAGGATGGAAAAGTTGATGGAGCAAGATTGTGAAGTATCTTATTGTGTAAGACTAAGAAGTTTAGACTTCATTCCGAAGACTTTGGGGAGCGAGTAAAGAAACCTTAACAGAGGAAATGAGATTAGATCTTAGCATCAGAACACTAATTAGCAGCAGGGTAGGTCATGCATTGGAGAGAGGAGGGCTAGAGCCAGAGGGACCTGTTCAGGTGGGGTGGCAGCTGCCGCAGCAGCACAACTGAAAGGTTTGAAATTCTGAACCAGAAGAGACAACATAGAAACATTTCTGAAATGGAAGCAATGGATCTTGGTGACTAATGTATAAAAGAAAATGAGAGAGAAGAAGGATGAGTCAAAGAGGACACCATGATTTCTAGCTCGCTGGGAGGCCACCAACTAAGGGAGAGGATGCTGGTGGAAAAGCAGGTTGGCGAGGCAGAATGAGTTTGGTTTTAGACATGTTGAATACAAGATGTCTGTGGGCCCCCAAGATGGAAATGTCTTGCTGACAAATAAAAATGTAAGTCTAGAACTCAGTGGAGAAGTAAGGGTTAGAGATAATAGATTTGAGAATCATGAGTGATAGAACCATGAAAGAACAGATGAGTTACCTAAGAAGATTATATGAAGTGAAGAGGGCCAAGGACAGAACCTATTGATCTTATATGCTAGTTTTACTTTGTGTGAGTGGTAGCATTGGTACTACAAGTATACTTGTCTTGATTTCCCTCACAAAATTGGAAACTTCTTAATAACACTGGACTGTGAGCTCTTCAGAGCAAGGACCAGTTTCCATTTGTGTTGGTATCTGCAATGCCTAGCAGAATGTCTAGAGTAAAGAAAAAGCTTCAGTGAATGTTTTTTTATTTTTTTAATATTTTATAATTTATATCTTTTATTAGAGTCCACGGTCTGCTACATAAAAGCAGTAACAAGACATTTCATGAACTATTATGCAAGTCTTATCAATTTAATTTCATAAAAAAATTAGGTGCATATTCATACTGGCTAACCTAAAAATGCTATATTTCATCTGTGGTCTAAAATACTTCATAAGAGACTTAGTTCCTGCACTAAAAACAATCCCATCAGTTTTTAATACATGTTTTACAACAAAAAGTTTGTGCTCGTAATCAAAAAGACCCAGAGACTAATTCAGCATGTAAAAAATAAATTTTACAAAAAATCCCAGATAACACTTTCAAATCCACTTTTATTTTTTATTTTTTCCTCCTCACATACAGAACTTCCCCCCACACCACATTTCTTGCAGCTATAAAGGCACTTGATGTTGGCCAGGTACCAGTGAATGTTTTTTTAAATGATAAGTAGGCATAATCTGTAACTCATACTTACTTTGTTCCTCTTAAGTATTAGTCAACGCTGAGTATATCTGTTGACTTGTACAGTGTCCACACAATAAACATCTTCAGTCTCAAGCGAGGTAAGATGATTTAATCTCATTGGTCATAATTCTTCATCTGGTTATTTAAATTATTACTAGTGATAGATTCATTGGGGACTATGGTTGAAAGCAACACAAATAGGCTTTGGCTAACTTAAGCAGAAAAGGAGTTCATTGGAAGGTTATCAAACTTGAAAAGAAGGCTGGACAATCCATCTTGGAAAAGGATAGGATATTAGGGTAACACCTGTCAGCATCTGTACAAACAACCCCCAAATCTCAGTGACTTGCCATCACTTCCTCTTGTCACAGTCAGAGGTAGGTTAGGAGGCTCACTTGGGTAGCTCCCTTCCAAGTGGTGCTGTAGGGATCTCAATTTCTCCATTGTTTGGCTCTGCTGTGTCGGAGACCTTTGCTCGCAGTTGCACAGAGAGAGAGTGAAAAAGGTCATGTGAGACTTTTTAGGGGACAGATCTGATAATGACGTGGATCACTTCTTCTGTCGTTTTGTGTGTGCCCAGGAAGA